CCCCCCCCCCCCCCCCCCCACCCAATTCGGATAGAATGAATAGTCTGGCGAAAAAAAGAGAATGACTTGCTTCTTTGGCTAAATAGTTTTAAAAAAAACTTGGAAAATGTACTTATTTACTCCGTTTTTATTCCCATTCAAATTGGCATTACTGACAGGAGATTAAAGGTCAAAATCAGAAGTATTCACAAAATATCATAATTTACAGCAATTTTTCGAGGGAACACGAGGGAATGAAAATTGCGACCGGAAATCAATTCAATTCATCATTAGCCTTCGAAGGTTGTTCTGAAGGATTGTGTCCTGCATTGCATTAAAAACCATTTGAATGTTCTTTCTATCGACAGCGGTAGTGAAATGCCTGTAGATGGTGCGTTTACGCGGAACTCTGTCCAGAGAAGTTGTTCTTCGGGAGTAGTTAGCGTTCAAGGAAGCACTTCGACGCATTTTTATCTGCTGAGATTCTGTTGATCGTCTTTGGAACCAACTTGATCGGTTCTGATTCATGGGGGAAGATGTGGGAGTCGGCTCAGTTGTGGAGGAAAATACAATGGGATCTACTAGTGAAGCAAACGACTCCACGAGAAACTTTTGAACTTCAACAAGATTAAATTCATCGGCGTTCGCAGGAAACTCTGAAAAGTGAGCTCGAATTCCGGAACGTCGAGCTTCAATTTTTTCCCTAAGGAGGTCACTCTTATTGAAAAAGATGATAATAGAAACTCTTCTGAAACTTTCGAAGTTAATTAATCCCTCAAAAACTGCCATAGCTTCACGGAGTTTATTCCGATATTCACCTGTTACTCGATCCATATAGAGTTCATCAAAATGGGAGGAACCGACAAGAAAAAGTATGGAATTCATATCGTTGAAGATTTGGCACCACTTTCGCCTCTCCTTTGTCTGACCCCCGACATCGATAAAGACAAGGGAGGTTCCGTGGACTCGAATATCTTCCTCGATTATGGAATCTGTGGGGCGACGAGACCAGACAATATCTTCGTTAGTTGGGACATAGTTCTGTAAAGAGGAAAGTTACCATACCATTTGACTAATGATAATAATTTTTCATGCTCTTTTAACCTTATCAAAAATAAATTTAAGTAACTTACTGGAATAGCTATTTGGTCTAGACGATTGAGGTAATAGCGGGTATTTTCACTCTAAATGAAATAAATGAAAAATTTTCCTTTTTAAACAAAATTTAAGCGAAATCCGTGTGTTTACAGGAAGATCTAATTTAAACATAAAATCATTTTAAATAAACTTATAAATGAAACGGAAATTGAAATTGTAAGATAAAATCATTGAAATAGCCATGATTGCGTCTTATTTTCTTTGTAGTATTTGTACACAGTGAATGCCGCATCTCTGCAATGAAATTATCCTGACGCGAGAACAGGAAATATGACCAGATTGTAAATAAATTGTTTTAAGTTAATGAAATAGGGGTGTGCGATAGACTTACCTTGTGGTGCACTGAGCAACTCATACGGCAAAAAATTCTATTAACCGGCAGTTGACTTCTGGCTTCAACATGCCATCACCCCACTGGATGTTACATTCGACTACTTCCACAGTACTCACCTCACCTTTTTCTACCTTTATGTCCGTCTCTTTTACACCTTTGAAACACTATTCTGTTCCCCCTCTCCTCTCGACTTTTTTCAATTTGATGTACCTTCCTCTCTATGAAGCCTGAAGTCAACTAAAGGCCTAATGATAACCATCAAGACGCCTGCCATTTGATATAATAATAATAATAGTTAATGAAATAGAAATTAGCTCATTAATGTCATGGGTAAACACCATGAGGTTCTTTTGGAGTTTAACAATGATGTTCAGGGGAAGCCAAAGTAAATTCCACTTTAAACGACTCCGAAAGCTAGAGAGAATTGTTCTCCCAAAACGATGTTTCACCATTTCTTGAAATAAATTAACTTTCAAACTATGGGCTATTCATTAATGAAGAAGAAACACAATTGAACTGCTAAAAAGAATAAGCAAAACCACCCCAAAAATGAAACCTGGTCCATTTAATTCAATGTAATTATGCGAACTGACCAATCCGATCACAGATTAGTCGTCGTTCTCGATATTACTGAATTAACAGACTTGCAAATTATAGATATGCTAATTTATATCCAGGTGTTCATTAAATTATTTCAAACAAAAGAAAAGACCGATTTGCAGTCACGCCGATTTCCCACAAAAGAGGAAAAATATATTATAATAATTTCAAGTACAGTGCCCTATCAACACACCCTTACAGATAACCATTTACTATTTTAAACGCGTTCATTATTGCCATTAATCAGTATGAATGTTGGTTGGAATGAAACAACTTTGTACGAAACAAACAATTAGTCAAGAATATTTTGTCAAAAGGAGAGTAACTTCATAACAAGCGTGAGTAAGGGTGTTCTGCGAAGCAATCAAGATGATATCTGCACATTTATGACGACATACAGCGGAAATAAATCGTTGATGGACACACGAAAATGCACGAAATTCAGTGTTCGGTATTGGTTAATACTTTTGCTTTACAATCATAGATTATCACAATATATTAGTAGATTTAAGTTTGCATTACCTTGATACGCTCCTGAGGAATTTTTTTCCCAGAACTCACTTCCACAATGCCTACAAAAAATTAATCTACATCACTTGATTTGATTAGAGGCCGTCCATTGACAAACCACTGTCCTACTAGTGTTTCTAACGCTAGGCATGAACTAAAACGATTGGTCATCAGTGCTTTTACAACCAATAAGCATTGATTTTCCAGATCACTGTGTCATTTCGCCTTTGGTTTTGTAATTAAACATTTAATTATTAGAATAATGAAAGTGGCAGGACTAAGCCATTGATTAGATGGTAGTGGAATTCGGTCATTTGGACATTTCCAGAGTGAAGTATACAGTCTATGTGAATTTGACAACGAAGTTTTTTCCGTTAGTCAAGCAAAGCATCTTATGACGTCCTGACAAGTTTGACGGGATTCTGATGACCCACTGTCCCACTTCGAGCCATATTGGACTTGGTTGTTGTCTCATTTATTCCGATCTATTTTTCTCATTATCAATATTCCGTTGTGTTTTTTTTTCTGTACTGTTATAGACAATGCAAATAAACAAAGGTCTATTTATAGACTGTTGTAGTTTCTTTACACCTTACCGTTGTGCCTTTTTCTAACTGAAATAAAACCAAAATGAACAAAATTAGAGCAGTCATGAAACAATACTTAAGTATCTACTGAATTAATCATATTAGTAGGGTGATTAAAGTGCATGCGCTATTTTTCTGCATAAATTCGTTTCTTGTCCAGCACATTCAAACTTTCCTTAATCGATTTATTTATATCTAATGACAGACTTTTTGATAGTTATCATTAGCCCTTTAGTTAACTTCGGGTTTCACAGAGAGGGGGGGGGACATCAAAGTGACAAAAAGTCGAGAGGTGGAACAGAAGAGTGGTTCACATATGCAAAAGAGACAAACAGGCACAAAGATAGAAGTGGTGCAATATGACATACAGTGGGGGTGATGGTAGTTTGAAGTGAGAAGTCAACTGCCGGTTTGATAGACTGTTTTGGTGCATAAGTATACGTTGCCCAGGGTGCACCACATGGAGGTTAGCCCATCGCGCACTCCTTTCCTTTATAGATGGATGGAAACCACTGATAGTGAAAACTCTATCAAGCAAATAATAAGCACATTCATCGTCATTTGAGAAGCCGAGACAGTGAGTAAGAATGCGGGACAAGGGAAGGTGCCCAAACTTGATAGAAAACAAATAAACGCAAAAATCTGGTAGAAAATGCTGATGTAAAACTTGCACCACCATCGGATTAAAGAATAAATTCAATGAGTACTCGGTTGATAATCAATTGAATACGACGACGGACATTATAATAAACGTTCAGGCAAATGAACTGGTTATTATTGATTTATCATTAAATTCACGGGAAAGCAGTGTACGCTGTTATCATTAAATGACCTTGATTTAATCGCGGCATAATTGAAATAATACAACTAAAAGTATACGGTCGGGGTTCAATACAGTAAAGGCAGTGGTAACGTTGTTATTCAAATTATCGAAAGAAAAAATATCAACTTTATCTAGTCTATTTTTTGTTCAACCCTAATTAGATTCAAAAACGGGACAAAGCTTGCTCTAATTACTATTAGTTAAAGCTATGGGAGTATCCGTATAAAAGCAATTAATTAATTAATTAATTAATTAATATCTTCTAATTATTTCTATGTTATTAAGATAAACCACTTAAGAAATGTGTTAGGAATTCAATTTAAAGCAAACCAAGTGCTTTGCCTTTGTTTACGTCATCTGAGCAAAACCAGGCAATAGCGCACAAGCTGATGCATGCCAAAGCAGCTTAAGATGTGTACAACACTTGCCCTAAGTGTAAAATTCGGTCAATTCATGGGAGGCAAATTCTGCGTGAAATCTGATTTTCGGACTTGAGGCCGAAAGGGTGTCACTCGCTGCATCTTCCATTTGACATTTGGCAATAAAGACCTTGAGTATATGACCTAGAGAGTAAAGTAACCTGCTGGAAATTATTTATTATATCAAATGCAAAGCGTCTTGATGGGTACCATTTGCCATTTAGTTGACTTCAGGTTTCACAAAGGGGAAAGAACATCAAATCGAAAAAAGTCGAGAGGGGGGTAGGAACAGAAGAGTGTTTCAAAGATGTAAGAGACAAACACATAGGTAGATGAAAGGTGAGGTGAGTACTGTGGAAATAGTCGAATATGGCATAGAGTGAGGTGATGGTAGTTTGAAGTGAGAAGTCAACTGCCAGTCAATAGACTTTTTTGCCGTATGAATACACGTTGCCCAGGATGCACCTGCTGGAACTTAAACTTCTGCTTTGCAATATCTAAATAGTATTCTCTTCACAACTAACTAATTATCTTTTAATGGAATGTGACAGATAAACTATGCGTTGACGTAAACCTTTGTTTAACAAAAAAAAATCATACCTAGTTAAATCTTTCTCAATTCAATTCAATTCAAAAACTTATTTCTAAATTACCTTCTAGACATAATGGAGCTTCGGTGGTATTGCTAACCTTGAAGAGGAAAAATTGTATTTGCTGATTTTCTGCCATTTTCTGTTATCCTATATGTTAACAAAGTGGGGTGTTCGATAGACTTACCTCCACGTGGTGCACCCTGGGCAATGTATACTCATACGACAAAAAAGTCTATTAACTGGCAGTTGACTTCTCACTTCAAATTATCATTATCCCACTCTATGTCATATTCGACTCCTTTACAGTACTCACCTCACCTTTTTCACTCTACCTTCGTCTTTGAAGCACTCTTCTGTCCCCCCTCTCGACTTTTTTCCACTTTGATGTTCCTTCCCTCTGTGAAGCCTGAAGTCAATTAAAGTCCTAACGATAACCATCAAAACGCCTGCCATTTGATATAATAATATGTTAACAAAGTATACACATATTTTACGAGTAACGTCTTATCATATTAAATAGCAATGTTACTTTATGAAACTTGACATAAGAATTATGTTAAGTCCGCTATTTGTAATTTGATTAAATCGGTTTGAGTTTATAGTTCTAATTAACCGTGCCTCAACAGTCAATAATTGAGTTCGGTGGCTTTGGAGTCATATTAAAAATGAAAATATATCAAAAGATAGTGTTGAAAAACCAACTGCTTCATGAGCATCAAACAGCCTCCATATTTCACATAGAGTTGTATAACTTTATCAATTTCAATGCTTACAATATAATATGTTTCGATCGGTGCACGATAGACTTATCTCCACTTGGTGCACCCTGGGCAACGTATACTCATATGGCAAAAAAGTCTATAAACCGGCGGTTGACTTCTGACTTGAAACTACCATGACCCCACTGTATGTCATATTCCACCACTTCCATTGTCCTTACCTTGCTTTTTTCTTTCCACTTTTTGTGATTTTAAGGCCACTCCCCCACCCCCTCTGTGAAACCCGAAGTCAAATTAAGGGCTCTTTAATAACTATCATAAATCCTGTCATTTGATATAAATAAATAAATGAATAGATATGCTGTGATGTAATATCAATAGACCGTTTTCTCTACGCGGCCTTATGGCGTTTGGTGCGCAGTTGGACTTTTGAACCTTGTT